TAATATTTATATTTATATTTAAAAATTAATTATATTAAAATATATAATTAATTTCTAAAATTAAATATAGATATTTAATATAGTAAATTGATAGTAAAATGTATAAAGTTTATTTGATTCCAGTAAAAAGTTTAAATTATTCTTATTATTTAAAATAAAAGGACAGTAATTGACACTAACCCTAAGACTGTGTGGTTGTGCTATCAATTTTATTAGTTGTCCGTAAAGAAGCATTATTGTGGACGTCCGGACGAGTACTGGACGAGTATTGAAGATAAGAACAATCACTTGGCATAGGGTCCCAGACATTGATAAGTTCATAGAAAATCCGTAAGATTGTGGTTAGTGGCTGTTATGAATTTGATATTGTATCATTATAATTAATATTGTTTTATATAAATATATTTTTTATATATTTAATTTTTAAATGGTGTATTAAATTAAATATTTTATTTTGTATGTATATGTTTAAGAGAATTTTTTAAAAAGTTATATTAATATTATTTTTATTTATTGTATAATTAAATATTTAAATTAAAAGAATTGATATTCAGACTCAATAGTTTATTGTTAAATTTTAATATTTGATTTTAGTTAATGAAAATTCACCTGCCACTAACGGCTTAAAAATCTCTTTTTTCCTTACAATTTTTCATGTTTTAAAAAAAATATTTAAATTAAAAAATTAAAGTGAGAAGATTACAAAAAAAATACTAGCAGTTAGATAGCTAAATCCAACAGCTGGGATAAAAGCTGCACCACCTATCATATTATAGGCAGTGCAGACTTTTTCAAAATTTTTGCCCTTTCCGCTGAAAAAAGAGAAGGTAAGAGAGCCAGCTCAATGTAGCCAGCTTGTCTTTCTTTTTATTATTTGGGCTCTAAAGAGGCTGTTGAAAAGCTTTGTTGTATTTCAGCTTGTGTTGAAAAGCTCTAAAGAATATCATTTGTTGTATTACCAAATGTACATCACAGGCTCCATATGATACTCTTTTTCAAAAATACATATTATATTTTTGAAACTGTGGAACAGATCTAACTTCCACAAGAAACCTAGAAACTGGGTTTCACGAACCCAATCACCTTAACTCTTGGATTCAAAGATTCAGAGGATTCACGTCTTTGATTTCGACATCAAGATCAACGTCAAAGAAAGAGATGGAGGAGTTTGAAATTTTTTTTTTTTTTTTACGGATTTTGGAAGTGATTTTTATGGATTAAATGCAAAAAACAGAAAATAAATAAGGGGAGGGTTTGGGTTGAGAAAGCATGGGAATTACTCCGGTATGGATGATGGATCGGTTTGAGTCTGTTCGGAACGAAGAGAGATTTCTGTTGCAGGGAGCGGGGAGAAAGCACGGGTATTACTCCTGTTCTAGTTTTTTTTTGTTTGGAGGCATTCACAGAAAATAATTTCACATTGTTAAAAAAGCTTCTACATTGTATTAAAAAGTGTCCACGTTGGATTAATAAGCCAAATAACGTTCATGTTAATTTTTGGTGTCATATAATGTATTTTTTAATAATTATTAATGGTGTCATGATGATTTATTAAAATATTAAATTTTTTACAAATTTAAAAAAGTGAAAAGTGTTAATAAAAGAAAAAATTTTGAAAGGTGTCCATTGTAAAAATAAAATAAATAGAAGATGCAAATAAAAGGCTTTGGTCAAGCAATTTTTTTTTTTGTTTTGTTTTGTTTTTTTTGGCGTACCGTTTGATAGCATAAAGGACGACTCTAATACATCCATTGCTATCAAACATCCCAACTTTGATCTTGTGTAACTCAGAGTCTATGGAGGCAAAATAGTAAAATAGGGAAGAATTCTCGCCTACAGGATACATGTGAGAGGAAGCAGGTAAGAAATTTAGGGCAAATTTAGTGCAAGGAGAAACAAAGAGAGATGATGTGGAATAGGTTCCATAATGAGAAGTTGCACAAAAAATAATTAAGAATGATGGCTAATGTGTGACTGTTTACATTTTAACGGTGAAAAAGATGCTGTTACCCTTAAAATGGACGGAAGGATGAAATGGAGCTCTTTTTGAATAGTAAAGAACCTAAATTCAAGTGGAGGGAGGACATGAGGCAACTTCATCGTAAAAGGTTTAAATTAAAAAGGGAAAACGGCTGGCTTTAACCTGGGCGGGATTCAAGTGGAGGGAGGACATGAGGCAACTTCATGGTAAAAGGTTTAAATTAAAAAGGGAAAACGGCTGGCTTTAACCTGGGCGGGAT